AGAAATAATTTGATCGTAAAAAAACTGGATAGATGGCTTAATAAGCAGTTTTTTATTTCAATGCTTGTACAAATAATAATTTTGCGAATATATTTACAATGAATATGAACGAGAATTTCTTTGCTTGCGATTTTTCTTCACTTTTGAACGTTCCTGTTGTAAACAAAAGGAGCGTTAATTTATAAACTTTTCCATATTTTTTAAAATAATTTTTGTCTTATTAACAACGAGAGAGTTAACGAATTATTGATTGCCAGTAATATCTCTTTTAAAATTAATAAATAATAACTAATTTTATCAAGTAAATCAATTGCTACTTAATCTTACCTTCTTGCCATAAGACCTTTTCTTTCTACTTTTTGAATATTCTTTTTCTGTACTTTTTTCTGCACGATCACTAATCTAAAAAAATGCTTTTCAGTGCGATAATAACTAATCGAACTTCAAAAAATTGATATTTATAAACGTTTTATTCATAAATGTAAAGAAAGCTCGAAATTTACTTCAGCCCATAATGACTTTTTTAGTTATGAATTTCAATATTACAGCACACAAATATTTGATTACAGATTGAATTATATTATCCAGAATACCTCATTTTCCGAACCCGCTTGTTCTTCACTACTTCTGTTGTCACTGTCATGGACTTCTTTTTCAGATCCATATTTTTTATCCTGGGCTTCTATGTCCATTTCTGATGATTAAATATTTGCATTGTTGAAACTTCTTGAAACCATAATTGTTTTAATAGCGAAAATTTTAAAAATTTAGTAAGTTCGAGAAAATTAAAAAAAAACTTTACCGATCACCATTTTACCTATTTATTGGTCTGATAAAAAAGTTAAACATAATAAGTGGAAGGAGTCAAAGTTCAATCATTCCAATCATACCATCCTTATGTTCTTTCTTCTTTCTCCGTCTTTCTCTATGTCTCCTCTCCTCTTCTTCTATTTCTTTTTCAATTGCATGCGACAAAATTGCGTAACAACCGCATATATAGCAAAGCACACAAAACAAAGGGATTACAATTACTGCAATTAACTTTACACGTCTGAATCCGTTATTACTTAATTAATATTTTTGAGAATAAACAAACTTTGCTATATCTCTGGCAGTTTTCACTTCAGTCTCATTCAGTTAATTTGAAAAAACAGAAAAAAGTGTGCAAACTCTTATGCTTTTATGAATTTGCGTAAGAAGTTTTCAGAAATTGTAGCCAATAACTGCGAAACATTTCAAGTTTGTTAGATCAATTTTTTTTATTTTAAAAATAGCCGTAAAATTGTTGTATGCAATGATTTTGTGTAATTAAAATAGTGGATTGAAATTTTTTCAAATTATTTTCTGAAATAGAATAATTAAAAGAGATTTGCATGTGTACCGCAAACGACAACAAGGAAAATTACAGCAGTTGTAAAATCCGACATGTTATGCATTTTACTTTCGACAAATATTTTATTTATCTGAAAGTATAATTTTAATATATTCAAATTGAGTTTGTGAGATTTATTTTGAAAAAATTTTAAACTTTTAGAAAAACTTTGAGTAATTCTTTACTATAATCAACAATCCTTGAAATTAATAATTGCTATCAACGTGAATGAAAATCACTTAAAATATAACTAACCGACAGTAATAGAATGATGTAGTTATTAAAAATTTTGATGAAAATACGAAAGTACCAGAAAGCAACCTAAGATTCTCACTTAAAAACTCAGCAGTGTTATGGAACAAGTGGAAAGTCGTTTTATGAATTTTTTTATAATTTTTGCATAAACAAAATTATAATATTTCAGTATCAGTAATGCATTTTTATTGGATTTATACCTCCAATTTATTCAATATCTGTTGTCTGATTACAATGCTTGCATTGAATAAAGGTTAAATAACAAAGTTCAATTTATAGTTCAACTTTTGTCAATTCAAATGACCAAAATTTGACTTGGTTTGTTTTCAAAATCTAAAAGCAATCCAATAAGTTGAAAAGCATCACACTATACTGAACAAATGTCTGCTATTGCAATGTTAGATTTACTTTTCAGAAAGTAAAATTTAAATCAAGAGTCAATATTCATAAACAATGAATTGTCAAAGTAATCATTAAAAAGTTAGACATTTCAGTCTTGCTGGATTTTCGAGATAATCCAAAAGATTATGCAAGATATTCCGATCTTTAAATTGATTTTTAGATATAAGTTTACAGAAAAAAAATAAGCTCATGGAAGTATTTATGAGAAAAGATAAAAGAAAAGGTCACGATTTTTTTT